AACATGTTCATGTTTTTACACTTTCTTAAAGTCGGGACCTCAGCTGCCTGCTCGAACACATAACAGCTCATAATGTGAATTCCATTCCTAGTCATACAATAGAGGGGGAATCACACTCATCCTCGCTGAACAGGAAGTCAAACTAAAAGAGCTTCTTACCTCTGACAGGAAGGTCTGTGCTGATTTCTGCGCACCAACATGCAGCAAATACTCGTACACATATAAAGCTAACCTGAAAAACAAGAGCAGAGACGAGAGGAGGAGTGAGCGCTGAGGATCACAGTGAGCGTTCATTCAGGAGGATTTCAAAAGTGAAGGAAAAGTCAAACGTTTGTGCACAACTGGCGGAAAATCGCCGTGTCATCTGAGATGGCGCTCAGATAAACGTGATTTTACAGTACAGATATCATATACACAGCGACGGGGTGATGAATGTGTGATGCGCGGGTTTCAGGATGACTGCCGCTGAGGCACAGAGAAAAACGTGGATGAAGAATATCCTCAGACAGGACTCCCAGACGCGAACACACCCTTGTGGATTCTACGTGTTAGAAATGATAACACAAATCACTCTTTAAGAGACAAAAATGATCCATTAGTATAAACAGCAATTAGTTTAAGACGGAAGCACAGCTGATAATTATTAGCAGCTTTTCAATCACCTGTGAGACAAATGTTAAATCAAATATTGCTGTCTAAGCTCGGTCCATTAAAAGAAAATCTTTTAGGATCATCCAGCTAAAAGAGCAGAAACACAGCTGCTGGAAATACTGAGGAGGCTCTGCAAACAAGCCTTTAATATTACACTTTTGCTGATATCAGAAATATAGTGTATTCTTCTCACACTAAACAATAGACTTTATGTCCTCATATTTACACTTTGCAGCTCAGCCTGTATTCATCACCAAAGCTTTACTCGCATGTCCTTTAGAGGTTTCAGTGAGCAGGAGCCAATCACCGGGTAAAGAGGTGGGCTACACCTGCCAGTCAATCGTGTACGAAAAGACAGACAAGCTGTTCAAGCTCACACTCACACCTGCATGTGACATTTACCAATTAACACAGTCTGCATGTCTTTGTACTGATGGAGGCAACCAGAGCATCAGCACAGGGATAAAGACCCCAGTCAGCCGGCTGCTCCCAACCCAGAGCCTGCTATCTATGAGGCCTGATCACAAAGGATCAAACTACTGAGTTAATCTATTTATTCATGCACAGGAAAAAAAGAATAACGTTCGATTCTACTATTAATCTTTTTTTTTTTTAAATGCTGGTTCATGACTTTAAACAAGTCGTGCACATTTTGACTGCACAGTTTCCCACCAGTCACCAATAAAAACACACATTTTTTAACTTTTGCTGTAGAAAATGAATTCGGCTCGTGTGATGTGTCGATCCGAGAACCAGTAAAAGTCCGGTTGCCTAGCAACAAGATGGTGGGACTTCATAAAGTCATCGCTTCCCGCCAAGAAACTGTACGACACATTCTTCTTCTCCTTCCTCTCTTGGCTGCTCCCTTTAGGGGTCACCACAGCGGATCATCGGCCTCCACATCCTCCCATCCCAGCATCCTCCGCTGTCACACTAATGCTCTGCATGTCCTCCTTCACTACATCCACCCTCAGCATCCACCTTTTCTCCTCCACACACGTCCAAAGCGCCTCCGCCTCGCCTCTCTGACTTTGCCGTGTCTCGCCACCATCCTGGAAACCTTCAATTTTGGTCTTGCTGCTGTCCTTCTGTCACAAATCACCCCTGATACTCGTCTCCACCTGCTCCACCCTCCTGCACTCTCCTCTTCACCTCCCTTGTGCTTTGGATAGTTAACCCCAGGTTCACTACCTCTGCTAGCATTCTCCCTGCTGCACACATGTACTCTGCCTTGTTTCTGCTACTTTTTATTCCTCTTCTCTCCAGAGCATACCTCCACCTCTCCAGGCTCTTCTCCACCTGTTCCCTACTCTCATTACAGACCACAACCCATTCCCGTATCTTCATGGTATGGCTCCTCAGCTTTATTCCACTGTAATTACTACAGATCTGCTCTTCGGTACCAGCACGGGTCTCCCTTCCTCGGCCATCTTCGCACTCTCACAGCTTGTCTGTACGACACATTATCATACTACAAACCACCATGTCCTCTTTTTACGTCAGCTTGTGGAACATTAGATTAAAACCATGTGATTTTTATTTGACTTTTAGAGGTACTGACAGGCAAATGTTGCATTCTGTGGACAGAGCCAGGTGATCTACCTGCCCCTGCTTCCTGTCTTTATACAGGATAGTTATTCGTAGTTACTTTAAACCCATTATGAACATTTCCAGCTCTTAGATTTCAGTCAAGTAAATTATCACGATTCATAGTTCAAAAAAATATTTTTTTGATACGGAGCGTCGACACAGCCACTCGGTTCATCCTCCGTGTGAAACAAGCCGGTTTTCCTGCTCACCCTTTAAGCCGACTCCTGATTGGCTTCCCGTGGTGCTGCTGTGCAAACAGCCACAGCTGTATGCCTGAGATGACCACATTAAAGATATCCACTTTCACTGACATCACACAGAGGCGAGAGTAAAAAAAGCTCACGGTAACCTGAGCTTTTAGCTCACAGGGATCACTTGCACAACCTTAAATGAAACTCTGTCTGTGATTAATATGAGAATGTGCTGTGGTAACAGAATTAAACTGACAGAAAGTAAAGAAAAGCGTCTTTGCCCCGCTTCGATGCACAGATTTGAAAGTGGTATTGATCTTCTCAACTAGTTACAGCAGAGAAGGAAACAAACATATTTCTCAGTGGCTGCAAAGGACTTATTACAAACATAAATGTACTTTATATCATAAATAGCATCAGTTTTTAGAGACTTTCTTTCTCTTCCCTTATTAATACTCATCCTACTGCCACTTGGCCAGACTCGCAAAACTCAGGTAAACAGTATTTACCAACATTATTATCACAAAGAACTCAAATACTGGCACCCACTCCCGGTTAGACAACAAATTCATCTGCATAAATCTGCACGGACGCACATGCTTCCCTCGGGTTCACCATTTCAGGACAAAAGCAAACCGCACTACTAAATATTTTTACTACGATGAAGAAGCGCGGACAGACGCCACACCATGCAGCCATCTATATTCAGCTCCCCCCGCTTCTACAGCACTGTGCGGGGAGGTGCTGCGCTTTTGTGTACGGTGGGGGCGATAGATTTTATGCTGATCACATGCAACAAGCCCAGACCAGACAGAGAGTTATGATGTTTGGGTTGTTGCTGGGTGATACTGAATGAATCAATAATGAGCCAGAACAGAGTTGAACAATCTGACTCTTTATGTCTTTAAAGATGTCACTGCAGCGTCTTGAGAACTATCTGCTAAAGTGTTGCAGCTGGTCCAGACTAGTTTCAGCCAGACACACGATCCCATCACCTGCGGTATTTCTAACATCTGAAACCATCCTGTTTATGCCCATATCAGCGCCTAATGTAAACACACAGTTTAAGGAAAACATATATGTCGTGTGTGTGTGTGGCCGTGTTTACATATCTTTGTGGGGACCAAGAATCGGAAGTTTGCTATGCTTGTGGGGACCAACAGCCCTTATGGGGACCAAAATCCGAGTCCCCATGAGTTTGAAGGCATTTTTGAGACTCAAATGTGGTTTTAGCATCAGGGTTACAATTGGGTTATGATTAGGTTTAGGGTTAGGCATTCATTTTTGATAGTCAGGGTCAGGGTAAGCGGCTATGTGAATTAGCATTATGTCAATTAGATGTCCCCACAAAGATACGAAAACACGGTGTGTGTTTGTTTGTAAAGGGGACACGATGAAAGACGGCTGGGCAGGGTTTCTGTGCAGAGTCACATTTAGGAGCAAATTGTTTGTTGTTAATGTTTAATATTGATCTCAGACGCAGCGACTGTTCTGCTGAAGTGCAAGTGATCAGCTCGGTGTTCAGGAAAATGCCCATCGCCTGTAACTAAGAGTCATCTGCAAAAATGTGCAGCAAAATCATTTTTATTTTTTAACATTTCAGAGGATTGTTGGCTCTAACATGACCCAGATTATGACTTTACCTTAAGCTGTGTTTCATTAGAACAGGACACGAAGGAAACGGCACTACTTTGGTACTTATTTTAGTTTCATCTTCAATTTTTGTGCTTTTTAGCAAAAAATGTAAACTTCTAATGAGAAAGAGAAATACTATTTTCATCCAATAATAATAATATCTGGACGCTCCCTCTCTATCACACAGATGTATTGTAATATAAAGGGTAAAGCATGTTTGGGCAGTGGAGCTGAATCAGTGTGTTGGAGAAGGAGCTCCCCTGCCTGTTGTGTTTCGGAGGGTGGCGGGGTTATCTGTGATGGATCACAGTTTGTTCAGTGGGCTCCTCTCCACCACAGCTTCAACAGTGTCCAGTTTGCAGCCAATCACAGAGCACAACAGGCCTTGCTGCAAACCTCCATCATTTTGCTGCCCACACTGAAGGATCTCAGCTTCCTCAGGAATCAGAGCCTGCTCGCCCTCTCTTCATATACAGCCTTCCGGTTCAGTTTATTGCACGGTAATAATCACAGCAATCAATTTTATAAACACAGAAAGCTTTGTAAGCTTCCTGTTTTTAGCCAAGAGTAACGACTGCAGCTTTGGCACGGGGAGCTAATCGTGAAAATATGCAATAATGTGAAAACGAGCTGCTACAGAAACACTGATCACTTTAGTTGGAGCATCAAACACCAAAATGACTCCTTTGACACAGGCGTCAATAACGTATGTAAAGCTCAAAAGAGTTATGTTGTTAATTATTTGAGCATTTAAACCAGCAGAGGCCGACGCGCTCTTCCAGTCAAAGTCTCAGTCGTGTGGGAAAGGACTCGCGTGGAAGCAGCCAACCAAAGCCAACTCAGGTCGCCCGTCCTTTTTCTCACATCTGCATTTTGGCAGCTGCACATTTAGAGGATGCCATTTGAATTCAATTCAATTTGATTTGATTTATACAGCGCCAAATTACAACAGCAGTCGCCTCAAGGTGCTTTATATTGTAAGGTAGACCCTACAATAATACATACAGAGAAAAACCCAACAATTATATGATCCCCTATGAGCAAGCACTTTGGCGACAGTGGGAAGGAAAAACTCCCTTTTAACAGGAAGAAACCTCCGGCAGAACCAGGCTCAGGGAGGGGGGGCCATCTACCGTGACTGGTTGGGGTGAGAGAAGGTATGCTA